TCATTAAGAGGGAAAAAAGATTCCATGCTACCATGAATCCACGAAGTTATGAAAGAAGCACATTTATCAGCAGAAAGATGAAAGATTTTTACGCAGAAGCCATCATGAAGAAAATCACAGTAAGAGTCCCAGTCAGCTTAAAGGTAGTTGTAAGATGTACAATGATAGGGGGATTCTGATGAAGAAGAAGAATGAGATAATAGTTTTAGAGAGATCGAACCATGATCAGAAGCAGCTAAAGATGAATGTGGAGAAACTGTGATCTGACTAGGATCAGAAATAAGACGGAAAAGGTAAATGATTTAGGTTGTTTGGAAAGCGAATAGGAAATTTGAGTTAGAGATTGAGAAAGGCAAAAGTTGTGGGCCTTAATGCCTGCAGAGTCACTATTACTAGAGCCAAGCCATTCAGTGTATTAAGCATTGAAGTCATCAATAACGACGATATTGGCTGATGGATAAAGAGAAAGGGCTTGATCAATTTGATAAGAAGTAACATCAAAAAGAGTGCAGTCTTGAGATGAAAGAGAGCAATATAGAGCAAAGAGAAAAGGCAATTTAGTGAAGTGGTGCTAAACTAAAGCACAATAGTCTGTGGATTCAAACCTAGTTTCCCAAAAAATAAATGAATTCTTATGAATGCAAATGCCCAGACCAAACATTTGACTATTGGAGTCTTTACAAATTAAAGAAAGATAACTATCAACACTAAGATCACAAGATGAGACAACTGAACTCAAATTAGTTAAAAACAAGATGAGACAGCCAAACTCAAATTATAAAAAACAAGTAGGTCTTGTGAACTTTGCAAGAGATGTGACTCAATAGAAGAAAAGTTACTTTGAAGACCACAAATATTAGTGAATGATAGGTTTAAAGAACTTGGTGATGACAATGGTTTTTTGTGTTTTATAGTTTTTGGAACTTTAGTCATTTTTAAATTTATTAAAAAACTTGACTCAAAGCATAGACAGTATACAGTACACTATTTATTAGCTAAAGCAACTGCCTCATTACTATTAATAAACCCTAAGCCATATCAAAGGGCTCCAAATAAGTTTTGACAATGCACACTAAAAGTACAAACATGGACACCATCCATGCGCAACATGGCACTGCTATTACTCAGATAATTTACAGTTGTTGATGGAACTAGCCTTTCTAAGAGCTATCACAGAGTTCAAGAAACCTGACTACCAACCAGCTTCAGAATCATAAAACTGTGTTTTAGAGGTGTACCCTCATTAGGAGATAATAGAATCAGTTGCCTAGTCATAAAAACAGAGACACAAGCAAAACCCATGCATTGAGTCAAGAAGATCCAGAAATTAACATTCTAAACCAGAAACAATGTACTATAAATACATTTGCTCCAGCCTATTAGATGAAGAAGGGGTGTGAGGCCAGTCAACAGATAGGATCTGTTTATAGCTGAAGTCTTTGCCTAGGAGGCCTTCTACAAGTCAGTAGCCAGGTGCATTTAACATCTGCCCAAGAGAGTATTTTTATCGAAACATTATCTCTAGCTTTTACTCAACTAAGATCCCCAAGGTAGGGGTGTTATAAGTCGATGTTGGATTCTCCTTGCCTTTGCCTATAAAAGTTCTACAGGGCAGCAGAACATCAAGCAGGTTGTACTGGGGTACATGTTACTAGTAGTAGGATAACCTGACATGAAGTTAAGTTAAGTGTTAAGAAAATGTGCACTGCTATCAAACTGATCAAAAACGCCAGTTTTTTTTATAAACAGTGGTAAAGCAAAATAAAGACCATTATTCAATAAATTTAGTTCATCATGTTGCAAAGTGTATGAAAACATATTTTGAAGAAAGTTTTGATGTTTAAAAAAAGCTTAGTTAATTTTGTTAAGAAACATTATTTTTTTTTTTGAGTTTTTATTTACTAAAGTTATTTTTTCTTTACATTGTTATTAGGTACCTTAAATAAGAAATACTATTGTAAAAATAAACAATAATTCCTTACTTGGCACTATATATCACCTAATTCTTTTATCAATAATTATTGGTTGTTTGTTTTTAATGCAATGCATTTTTTCAGAAATTACTTTTTTTTTATCAATTTTATACCAATGCAGTTTGCATGAGGTATGTTAAATCCTAGAAACTTTGGATATATTGCAATTATTTTGCAGCTTTCAAGATGTCTTTTCAAGCTTGTATTGATACTTTGGAAAATGTAGAATAAAACTATGAATCATGTCAGGAATTAAAAATATCAGTTATGTACATATATTAATTTGATGTATATATATTTATGTATGTGCATGTATACATGTGTGTATATATATATATATATATATATATATATATATATATATATATATATATATATATATATATATATATATATATATATATATATAATATATATATACATATATATATATATATATATAATATATATATATATAGGGGAAGTGGGGGCATAACCGCATATGGAGGCACAACCGTTTTTTAACATTTCTCTTCAAAAAATGTTATCTAATATGGCAAAAAATGAACCACGCGTTAGTAAAACAGTTTCCTTCATTTTGCATATGTCAAAAAGAGTGACTGTTAAGTTTCTGAGAAGTTGTGAATAATAATTTTTATTTTGATAAAAATATTATATTTACATCATATTTTTCCTGACCTTCTTTTTGAGAATTAAGCAATATTTAATTTTAGTGTTAAAAATATGTTTTATCAGCATTATTTCATGAAGTGAAAGTCATTTTTGATTATACCATAATCTAATAATTAATTTATAAAACTGAATTCTTTCTAAAAACTCTCTTCTGGGGTAGAACTCTCTTCTGGGGCAGAACTCAAAATGTAAACACAAAGAATGCCTGCACAATATGCAAACATGCAACAAAATTATCAAATTATCTGAGCTGTGAAAATTGTAAAAAATATATACCATGAAAGGTGTAGCCCCATCGATTTTTTTGAGGGTGCAGTTGTGCCTCACAATGGGGGCAAAACCGTTTTTTTCACTAAGTGTAATTTTTGTGTAATAACATTTTCAAAACCTGTTTAATTTTTTTCTTAAATGCATCAATTTAAAGTTTAATGATGTGGTCATTGAAATAAACTGCTAAAAGAACACATTTCGTTTTTATTTTCATATAACATTATTCCAAACGTTACGGGGGCGGTTATGCCCCCGTAACGTTTATATATATATATATATATATATATATATATATATATATATACATATATATATATATATATATATATATATATATATATATATATATATATATATATATATATATATATATATATACTCTTGCATGTCTCTTGCATGGCATCAAAAAAAGTTTCCCATAAACTGTAGTTTTAAAGAGCGCGTTAATAAACCAGACCAGAAAAAGTTTTGAAAATTAAATTTTTTTTTTAATTGATAGACTGTCTGGCCAAACCAAACCCTCAGTCGATGTAGCAGCACTCTGTTGCGAGTCAGGCTATTTGTCAGTCGATGTAGCAGCACTCCGTTGCGAGTCAGGCTATTTGTCAGTCGATGTAGCAGCACTCCGTTGCGAGTCAGGCTACAAGATAGTCGATGTAGAAACATTTACGCATGTTTTAAAAATGTTTTTTATTAAATCAATAACAAAAACACCACTAATTAAAAAAAACTTTCTAGTCAATATAATTGCGGTTTTTTAAAAATTTTTTAAAAAACAATTAAATTTAATGTACTTCCGCATAAATTAATTGCTTTGACATTTCGATGACAATCAAAAACAGCTTAAGAGACGAGGTAATTAAAATTGTAGTCGTAAGAGACTTTCTTTACATTAAAACGCTCTTTCGACTACACTATATGGGTATATATATATATATATATATATATATATATATATATATATATATATATATATATATATATATATATATATATATATATATATTATATATATATACATATTATTTTTATATATATATATATATATATATATATATATATATATATATATATATATATATATATGTATATACATATATATATATATATATATATATATATATATATATATATATATATATATATATATATATATATACATTTATTTGTTGATAGGCATAGTATTTTGTTAAAAATACAGCTCTTGTCTGCTTAAGAATGATCAATATTTTTTTGTAAAATAGATCGAATTATATTTATATAATTTAAATGATAAAAATACAACTTTTTATGGAACTATTAGTTTCATGCCATTCAACAATCATTCAGCCATATTATTCATAAATTTGAATAATATGGCGGAATGATTGCTGAATGGCATGAAACTAATAGTTCCATAAAAAGTTGTATTTTTTCCATTTAAATTATATATATATATATATATATATATATATATATATATATATATATATATATATATATATATGTGTGTGTGTGTGTGTGAGTGTGTGTGTGTGTGTGTGTGTGTGTGTGTGTGTGTGTGTGTGTATATGTATATATGTGTATATATATATATATATACATATATATATACATACATATATATATATATATATATATATATACATATATATATATATATATGTATATATATACATATATATATATATATATATATATATATATATATATATATATATATATATATATATATATATATATATACATATATATATATATATATGTATATATATACATATATATATATATATATATATATATATATATATATATATATATATACATATATATATATATATATATGTATATATATACATATACATATATATATATATATATATATATATATATATATATATATATATATATATATATATATATATATATATATGTATATATGTATATATATATATATATATATTTATATATATATATATATATATATATATATATATATATATATATATATATATATATATATATATATATATATATATATATATATATATATATATATATATATATATAACTTGATATAAACAGAGTGTGAAACTAAATGTTTACTCTATCTGGTATGGAGTGATTTGAAGTTGCAAAAATTTCAATACTCTCAGGTAAGATACCCAACTCTTCATACACTTCCCTCAGAGCAGTCTCCTCAGGTGAAGAATCCTTGTCATCTTGCTTTCCACCTGGAAAACTGGAAAAAAATCATAATAAACCATTATTTTTTATTTCATCATTGACATTTTAAATTTTGTCTATTTTAAATTTTGTCTAATTTTAAATCTCAAAATCAATTTATACTGTTTTAAAAAAATTAATAATTTAACGTGGTTATAACAAATTCTAAAAATAAAGTAACTCAATTTGTTTTTAAAATTGTGGTACAAAATTTTTTTTTAATATTCTTGAAGAAACACTTCAAAGTTGTTGTCAAGATGTTTTACTTTTAAATATAGTGTGACTTCCATCACATTGTAACTAAAAAATTAAAACCATGAAAAATTTAAATATTTTTTTCATCAAAATGAAATATACAATCTGTTTTCATAACAACCAATATTAAATAGAAAAAAATGGTAATGCTTAGTTAGTAAGGTTATTATTGCAAATTACATAACAATGGTTGTTAGGTTATTGAAAAACTGTATTTAAATGGATGATGAAAACTTTTACATTGCTTTGTAAAAACTGAAAATTAAATTAAAGACTTTTTAAACATTTTCCTAATTACGTTATATTTGATTTAGTAAATATTTTAAATAATATCATTAGTCTAACCATCTAAAAAACATTATTATTGATTTAAAACAGGTAAGAAACAAATATAAATACACATCACTGGTTTAAAAAAAAAACATTACTGGTTTAAAGAAATAAACATATATAGATTTAAAGAAAAAAACATCACTGGTTTAAAAACATAAACATTACTAGGTTCAAAGAAAAAAACATCACTAGGTTTAAAGAAAAAAACATCACTAGGTTTAAAGAAAAAAATATCACTAGGTTTAAAGAATAAAATATTAATAAGTTTAAAGAAAAAAACATCGGTAGATTGATAAAAAAAACATCACTGGTTTAAAGAAATAAACATTACTAGATTGAAAGAAAAAAACATCACTAGGTTTAAAGAAAAAAACATCACTAGGTTTAAAAAAAAAACATCAGTGGGTTTAAAGAAAAAATTTGGTGAATATAGATGTCGCATTAACAAAAAATAAATGATTCCTGAATGTTTAAATTTTACTTAAAGAAAAAAAAATTATAAGTGTTTTAAAAAGGATAAAAGTTATCCAAAAGCATCAAGAGTTATTAAAAACCATAATAAATTGAAGAAAAATTGTAAATAAATTATGTTAGAGATAAAATATGAGTTAAATTAAACTCTTTGTTAAAAGCGTCTAAAATACTTCTAAATAATGATAGTACCACAAAATTCTTTTCAATAAAATCTAAAAGGGTGTAGTAACTAAATGGGTATACAAAAAGTAATAACTCTTACAAAAGGCTATCATTATAGAATTTATAAAACAGTTATTATAGAATTTAAAAACAGAAAATTTCATTCCGAATCTGAAGTTTATTCATATGTGTACATGTAATGCACTCTCTCCAAGTTTTCACAAGGCTGAAAACAAACATTTTTAAGTTGGGAGTTACTAGAAAACAAATAATAGTTTTAAATAGCAAGGAAACAGTTGACAGAAGACTTGAAAAGTTGTAGGTTGTATGAGTTAGGAAAGCATGAAAGTGGGATAGAGTTCCAAACCATTAATGTGAGAGGAAAAAAACTAGATGAATGTAAGTTTTTAGAACATTAAGGACGGATACAGTAAAAAGATGCAACTTTGCTAAATGATGACAAGTCAAGTGAGAATGAGTTTTGCTATTATCTCCAGTTAATTGAACTAGAGATGATAGCAAATACTATCTTATTTGAGCAACAAACATGATAGTATTTGTAGAAAAGAGAAATAGGCGCAACCTAACGATGATGGAAGACTAGGTAGACAGCAACCCAAACTACATTTAAAATGTGTTTTTCAATCTTGTCTACAAGAAAAAGAGCATCTTTAGAACCAGACAAATATGACAACAGTATTCCATACAGAGACAAATTAAAAATTTGTAGAGGTTTTTGTTTTTTGATTTCCATTTCAAGGAAACAAGGAGCACAATAAAGAGATCCTTAGCAGATGCAAACTTTGCAATGGATTGTATGTTCAACACTGAGATCCAGATATGTTCAACACTGAGATCCAGATATGTTCAACACTGAGATCCAGATATAAATTAGCTGAATTCAAATTTATTTCACAAAGATCAAATAAGTCTAGTGAATTTTAAAAGGAGTGAGAATTAACTGGTAAAAAGTTACTTTAAAGATCACAAATATTTATAAAAGATAAATTGAAACAGGTTGTTGTGATGGCTTTTTATGTTAATATTTGTTGGTACTTTTGATATGTATGTATGTACTGACTATTTTATGTTTGAAAACAAATTTGTCTCCTTTTTAAATAATAAAACTGTATTTTTAAAAAACTTTGATTGTAAATAAAGAAAATTTGTATGCAAGAAGATGTAAAAAAGCTTATTTTGGACAAGTGGCTTTAGAATTATAATGTTTCAATTAATTCACTTGCAAAAAAGTGTAAAGTTCAAAGGAAAACCATTAGTTGCATCATCAAATAATGAAGCAAAGGTTGCTGATTGGAAAAAAAGTCCAACCAAACAAACCAAGAAAGAGGTGCGTCAAGTTTAAAACTTGATCAAAAAGTAATTAAGTGTATTGATGCAAATCAAACCACCCGAACACTCCATTAACGATATCGAAAAAAAAAAGGTGTTCCCATGTTTACAATTCAAGCAAAGTCAAAAAGTTTTGGTTTGGCCATCTGTTCCTGTGATTTTATTTAAAAACTTTGGCATATAAAATTCGCCGAATGGTCACACACGAGCAGTGAACGCCTGAGGGAAGAAATGAAGTACATTAGAATAAAGGAGAATTATTTATTAGATAAAGCATATTTTGACAGTTGTCAAGACAAAAATAAAGATTAATTAGAGGAATATTTAAAAATAAATAAGACAGGCTATACACCCACAACAATAATAACAATAAAAATAAATTTAAAAAAATAAAAAAAAATAATTGTTTTATAAACACCAATATGAACGATGATATATATCACCAGACAAAAACTTGTAAAACAAAAAACGGATCACAAAATAAAAAATCTGATAACAATGAGAGGCATTTAATAATGGAAAAAAAAACATTACATGAAATGTATTATTTCTATTCTATATAAAACATTAATGCTAATGTGTAAACATAATTTGTGTAGTGATTAAGTAATAAACATCTCCTCAGAGTCGCGTCTATTATTACTGGCGTTTCGATGAGGATCAGCATTTAAAACTAGTTTATCCCGTCAGACAAACGCCACTTATGCTTTACCCCGCGACTTACGCCTATTCTATACTGCAGTTAAAAAGGACTCACTACAAAAAGCCAAAACCCAACCAACCCCAAATTTGTAAAGCACCAATGTTTTTAAAGTGTAGATTTACTGAACAAACAAAAATAAAAATAAATAAATAAAAAACTTACCATACTACCAAAAGAAAACATGAAAACAAAATAAATTAAAATTCTAATAGAAACATAAAAAACCAATTTTCATAAATTTATTTAAAGAAATAAAACTAAATAGGTATTATTATCAGAAAGCAGTATACCTCAATAGAAAAATTTTTTATATCAACAAAACAACAACAGCCTTAAATAAACTCTAACGCTGTCATAGATACCTCATTCGAAATATGACAACCAATCAAAAGTGTTGGAAAATGAGCAGCCCGCGAAACCCAAAATCATAACAATAATTGAATAATATATGATAGCGAAAAAGAACGTTGCACAAAAACTTTAAAAATGTAAGCGGCATATATGCAAACATTTAATGAAGGATATAAAAATATTCTCTGAATAATAATAAAGATGAAAAATGTGCATGTAAAAATTAAAACAAAGCTGAGCAATGAATGCAACAAACAGTTATAATATGAGAATCAGGAGATAAATAATATATCAACAAACACTGCAACAAGACTAACTAAATATTGCAATAAAACCAGATAATTTTAAGCCAAATGAGTGGTTAAAAAACTAGCCATGGATAATATAACAACGATATAAGTCGTAATGTAAAAACAATGTACAAAGCGGGAAAAAAAAATTATTAAAAAGTGAAGTTTTCTCTACGGTCCAAACTAAAAGAAACATTGAGACCATATCTAAATCAAAATTTCCGAAAAGTAATATTTCCTCTACAGTCTGAATTAAAAGTAATTTTGAGACCATATCTAAATCGAAATTTCCGAAAAGTAAAGTTTTCTCTACGGTACGAATTAAATGTAATTTTGAGACCATAACAAAATAACAAGGAAAAACATACATCATAAAAACATGTCGAAAGCCGCTAGTTTATAAGAATTGCTCTTATATTTATATATATATATATATATATATATATATATATATATATATATATATATATATATATATATATATATATATATATATATATATATATATATACATATGAATCCGTAAATGAAAAACTCAATCACACATGAGAAACACATATAGATAACGTACAAATCTATATCAATATTTCAACCACATATTATCTATTAAAAGAAAATATTATTTAAATAAGGATTAGTTCAAACAAAGATGAAAGAACAAAAAGCATGCAAACGATGTAAACAGGATGTATGTGCATAAGGGTGTATAGGTGTAATCAAAAACAGAAATACCCTGAAAGATTCCAACAGCAATTCAGCAAATATTAAAAAGTCAAAAAGTTTTGGTTTGGTCATCTGTTCCTGTGATTTTAAAACTCATTCATTTTTTATAAACGGAAAACTTTAAGTGAAAGAATCTTCAGGCCTGATCTTGCATCTTACTAAAAATATAAACTTTAAGTGAAAGAATCTTCAGGCTTGATCTTGCATCTTACTAAAAACTCAAAAAGTGCAATTGAATGGCATAAACTAAATGGCATTAATTTTGTCCCAAAAAAACATGAATCCATCAACATGCCGCAACTTCATCCATTTAAAAAATGTTGGGCAAATATAAAATCTAAGCTGCGTAAGAAGGGAAAAATTGCAATTTCTTTAATTTTGTGGTGTAGCATCACATAATTATACGAAAACTGTTATCCAAATGTTTATGCTAGGTGTTTGTACAAAACTGAAAAAATATTGTAATCTTTTTTATGCAAGTTTTAAAATATTGAAAAATTGAAGATAATGTTTCCTAAAAGGTTTACTTCATTTAGAGAAAAATCACCATGGGTCATTTTCATTTCAGATAACTTTTATGTATGTATGTATGTATGTATGCATGTATGTATGTATGTATGTTGTTTAGATTTGGGCTTTATTTCAATATTCTTTTCAATTCTTCTGAAAATGTATTTGAATTGTGAATAGTATTGTAATAATAGTATGATAAACAATTCTATAAAATATAAAAATTACCTTACTTGCCCACCATAACTTGAAAGAATAGGCGATCTTCTAGTAAATAGAATGGAAAGTTCATTATTAACAATGCACAATGGTAATAAAACTGCAGCTTTTTTTAAATTCTGACATGATTTATGGTAAATTGGTTTCATTTTTGCAAAATTCTCTGCAAGTACACAGCGACCAGACCCTTTTAGTAAATACTCTTCAATATAACAATTAGTAACATATGTTCTCAAAGCAAGCACAAACTTATAAGTCGATGGGTTAATTTTACTAGAGCACGATGACCACATTATTAATTGTTACTTAATATCTTGAATTAGAATAAAATAAAACAATTATTATAACTTACAAGTTTTTATAAAAAAATTTTAAAAAATTGACGATTTTACACTCACGCATCTATCTATGCAAAAGAAAAAAAAAGATGCAGTGCTAGCAAAAACATACTTTATAAACATGTACAGTATAAGCAAGTAAAAACATAATGTTAGAAAAAACATATTTAAAAAACAAGAAAATTATAAGCAAAAATATTTTTTTAACATGCTTTAACATATATTTTACCAAAAAGTGGGGACTTTGTTGGGGAAGTTGCAGTTTTTTTGTCATTTTTAAAACTTATTTAAAGTTTAATGTGAAATCTAAAACTATTTTTTGAAATCATTACATGTTGCCAACAAAATACAAATACAATGAAAAATATATTAATAAAGCCACAGAAAAAAATTATGTTTTTACTCTTTCACATTTATTTTGTGTACGCACTTTATAAGCTAACACATTTCAAGAGTACATTATAAGCTAAAAAAGATTTTAAAAATTACAACAATTAAGAGGGGCAATAGCACAAAAAAAAATAATTAAACCAGTTGTCAGGGTTAGGGTCAGGGTTAATAGGAAACAAAAATATGATTTACTAATTGGTTTAAATTTAATTGATATTTAACCCAATTAAATATGATCTTATCATATTTTGTTGACTTAGTTAATCTACATTTATGTCAGAGTTAAGAAAACTATTTTATGTTATTTCATATTTTTAAGGATTAGCTGTTCAAAGTTAGATCTGTTTACATTTCCAACTAATAAGTTGCAAACTATAAATAATTTATAAAAATATTAGGAATTTTAATAAAGGCTTAAATGTTTATATTAGGTATATGTTTTACATTTAAGAAATATGTTTTACATTTCAAAGTTAGATCTGTTTACATTATCCAACTAATAAATTGCAAACTATATATAATTTATAAAATTATTAGGAATTTTAATAAAGGCTTAAATGTTCATGTTAGGTATATGACTTTTTTTTAATCAAGATTCCTGGGGTGGCAAATGATCAACTTTTATCTAAATATAGTAAATATGACTTAACTTTTGTTTAAATTTTAAAAAACCTGGCGCACCCTTAAAGAAATAGCTACAATGCTTAATTCACACAAGTTATATATTGTAAAACATAAATTTTAAACATCCATATGAATATATGCTTACTTTAGTCACTGTTGAGTGTTTACAATTGTAAATTTGAGTTCACAATTTAGCATTAAGGTACTTGTCACTTTTGCAGGTAGTTTACCCAATGCGTTTAGAAACACTTTGTTGCTTTCTAGCAATCAAATTCTAAAACAGCAGAATGCAATTCTTCAAAACTGTGCTCAGTGAAATGCTGATTAGAGAACCATGCTGATGCCCATACAGTTGATATAAAGTTGCAGATACTGCTCAGCTGCTGACAATATTCTTCCAGACAAAAACAAGAAAATAAGGATGAGTGTCTTGTAGATAGAGAATATTTGGTAACCAAATTTGCAGCAGCCTCGGTTTTTTGATATTTTTTCCTCTTTGTTTCCACTTCAGTTATAAAACCACCACCAGGTTATTTTTCAGCATCAGTTTCTTGCACAGATTTATCTGAAGTTACCATGACTTATTTCTCAACTGAAGATTGCATAACTTTTCGGCGTTAAAACGGATGAATTGTTGAGACTGGTGCAAGCTTTGCAG